GGCTTCTGATAATTTTGGCAATTGTAACATTAGAATAAAGAAAAGTGTACAGAAGCCCTGAAGAGCTGAAATGTTCACGAATGTCAAGCGTAACCAGAGTTAACTAAATGGACCGAACGCAGGAGGCTGGAGCCACCTTTCTGACTTTTGCTCGGATTGTTGCCGATCTCTGTTTTGTTTTTGAGTCCAGGAAACTTATTTTGAACGATTTACAGCCTTCAATAATAAGTAAGGTATACTCCTGTGGACAAAATTTGGGCCAGGTGCAGTGAGTCAAGCCTGTAATCCCAGCACTTTGGGAGACTGAAGTGGGTGGACCACTTGAGGTCAGGAGTTCGAGACCAACCTGGCCAACATGGGGAGGCCCCACCTCTACTAAAATACAAGAATTAGCTGGATGTAGTGGTGGGCACCTGTAATCCCAGCTATTCAGCAGGCTGAGGCAGGGGGATTGCTTGAACCCAGGAAGCACAGGTTGTAGTGAGCTGAGACTGTGCCGCTGCACTCCAGCCTGGGTGACAGAGTGAGACCCCATCTCAATGTAAAAGCATTTGGAGAATGTTTGTTTCTCTCTTTCTGGTTCCTCCAGAATTTGGAAACCGTGAGTATTCTTGTGGCAATATAGTCCTCTGCATCGGTGCAATAAGATTCCCTCTCTCTTTTGCAGCAGACACAGTTGGAGAAAGTGGTTGTTTTACCAAGGCTTTGACTGGAAGAGTCTGCTTCCCTTTGAGGAGTCAACCTTGGCTGGGCTCAGGGGCTCACGCCCGTAATTCCAGCTGTTTGGGAGGCTGAGGGGGAAGAATCGCTTGAACTTGGGAGGCGGAAGTTGCAGTGAGCAGAGATCGCAAGACTCAGTCTCAAAAAAAAAAAAACAAACAGGATGGGCAAGTATGGACAAATTTTTTTTTTTTTTTTTTTTTTTTTTTTTTTTTTTTTTTTTTTTTTGAGACGGAGTCTCGCTCTGTCGCCCAGGCTGGAGTGCAGTGGCCGGATCTCGGCTCACTGCAAGCTCCGCCTCCCGGGTTCACGCCATTCTCCTGCCTCAGCCTCCCGAGTAGCTGGGACTACAGGCGCCCGCCACCTCGCCCGGCTAGTTTTTTGCATTTTTTAGTAGAGACGGGGTTTCACCGTGTCAGCCAGGATGGTCTTGATCTCCTGACCTCGTGATCCGCCCGTCTCGGCCTCCCAAAGTGTGTGTTTTTTTTAAAGTAATTTCTCTGTTTTGGAGTTAAAGTTTCTTTCAGAATGAATGGAAGAAATGAGTACAGAAAGCTGTGAAGAGAGAGGGAGGAAGAACTTTGTGTAGTTAGGTGGCTAGAACTGGGTTTATAAACATTGTAAAGTGACTGGTTTTTGTTGCTTATTTTGTTTATGTGTTTTCAGACAGGGCGTCACTCTGTTACTCAGGCTGGAATGCAGTGGTGTGATCTCAGCTCACTGCAGCCTCAACCTCCCGGACTCAAGTGATCCACCTGTCTCAGCCTCTCTAGTAGCTGGGACTACTAGAGAGCATAGTAAAACCCCCTCTCAAAAAAAAGAAAAACTTAGCGGGGTGTGGTGGCACATCCCTGTAGTACCAGCTACTCAAAAGGGTGAGGTGGGAGAATCGCCTGAGCCCAGGAGTGTGAGGCTGCAGTGAGCTGTGATTACGCCACTGCACTCCAGCCTGGGTGACAGAGAAAAGAGAAAGAGTTCTACCAAAGCAGACTCTTAAAAACCCCACGTGATCCATCACTAGTCATATTCATTGCAGACATGTAAATAATCAGGCCGAGTTTAATGAGACTAAAGCTATTTTGCAAACAAATTAGGCTTACTGTAATTATCTTTGGTTGAAATGGGGGTTTCTGGCCGGGCGCGGTGGCTCAAGCCTGTAATCCCAGCACTTTGGGAGGCGAACAGGCGGATCACGAGGTCAGGAGATTGAGAGACCATCCTGGCTAACACGGTGAAACCCCGTCTCTACTAAAAATACAAAAAACTAGCCGGGCGACGGCGGCGGCGCCTGTAGTCCCAGCTACTCGGGACTGAGGCAGGAGAATGGCGTGAACCCGGGAGGCGGAGCTTGCAGTGAGCCGGGATCCGGCCACTGGACTCCAGGCCTTGGGCGGACAGGCAGGTGGAACTTCCGTCTCAAAAAAAAAAAAAAAAAAAAAAGAAATGGGGGTTCCTACTATAGAGAGGAATTATGTTTCATCAGAAAACTATAGTGCACCCATGACGATATTTCCCTCTTCATTTTCTTTGAGGCTTTGCGTATTGCTGGAGTCCTGCAGGCTGAAGCTGGACAATTATGTGTTAACCTCAGAGGAGAACCTCCAGGCCGCTGCCGCGTGTGACTCAGAGTTTACCAAGATGTCTGATGCTATCAACCCACAGAAACAGGCTTTCAGCTCAGATCTAGAAATCTCAACTAACTGCTTTCTGGACTCAGGGACATCGTTTTTAGCTTGTGGTAACCATCAGCCATTGTTTTCCTTTTGTTTATTTTGACCGGTTTGGTTTCTGGGAAGCTTGGCTAAGGAGCGTCCTCGTCTCTTGAGATCATTCTCCTGACAGGCCTCATTGTGATGTCCCTGCGGAACCGTGTTCTCTCAGGGGTCTTATTTTTTTTTCTTTCTTTGTTTTTTGAGATGGAGTCTTACCCTGTCACCCAGGCTGGAGTGCAACGGCGGGATCTTGGCTCACTGCAACCTCCACCTCCCAGGTTCAAGCAATTCTCCCGGCTCAGTCTCCCAAGTAGCTGGGATTACAGGCGTGCGCCACCACGCCCAGCTAATTTTTGTATTTTTAGTAGAGACGGGATTTCACCATTTTGGTTAGGCTGGTCTCAAACTCCTGACCTCGTGATCCACCCGCCTCGGCCTCCCAAAGTGCTGGGATTACAGGCGTGAGCCACTGCGTCTGGCCTCTTTTTTTTTTTTTCCAGTACATTGTTCCAGGACATCTCAGGAATCTTAAATGCATGTTGAAAGCCATCCGTGGTACACCAGATGGTCTTCCTGTGATTAGAACAACCGAAAAGGAAGAAGAAAAATTTTTCCAATGAGCCTGACATTATGACTTGCAAGTTCCATGTGGAAACAGACAAACCATGATGGTGACAGAGGGTGCCTGCGTCTGACTTTTGGTCAATCTCCGATAAATGAGAGGATGGCTGATGAGGGAGTTTTTAGAAGACTCCATCAGGACGCCATCAGACTGAGGAGGCCCCAGTGCCCTGAAACCCAGCTGAGTTTGAAAGGTCATATCCTAGGAAAACACAACTTAAGCTTCATCAGTCAACTAACCTTGAAGAAGGGACTTCGAGGCCATGGCTCCAACTTTGCCAATGAAGGATTTGCCTTCCGGACGCCCCTCGTAAAGTTCCCTTTGATGGAGCCCTGAGCTGCTTGCAGTTTAGCGCAGCCCAGTTCATGAATTGCTGCTCGTACAAATAAACTTTAAAAAATTTTCCTGTGCTTTTGTTTATATTTTAACACAAATAAGGAGATTATAGGGTGACATTTTACAGAATTGAAAGAAAAAAACCTAGAATTTTATATGCAGCCAAATTGTTATTCAAAGCTCAGAGCATAATAAAGCTATTTCCAGAAAGCCTCAGAATGTGTCTCTCCCTCACGTCTACACTGAAAATATTCTTGAAGAAGGAAGTCAAAAAACAAAAAAATAGAAAAAACAGAAATCCAGGAAGTGCTGCAGGCCACAGGAGAAGTCTGGGGACACAATGGGTTTGTGAAATCTGTTATTAGCAACAAATCACTGCCAATAAAAAGGTAACGCAAAGGGCAAAGATGAGGGAAATACAGTTGTGCGAAGCCTGACGATCTAGATAATGCCATCAGGAAGGGAGTGAGAGAACCAAGGGATGTGGGAAGTTTGCCAAAGGGTGCCGGGAGATCCAGGTGTGGCAAGTCCAGGACGTGAACACGGGCAGCTGAACAGTGTGGGTCTTAAGGCCACCATCACAGGAACTCACTCGGCCACGCTGCGTGCCCACTGCCGTGGGGGAGAAGAGACAACGTCTTTCTTTCCTTCGTAGGTTCTTAGTTGAGACAGTCTCCTGAAAATAAAAGTGAGATTAACACGAGAAAAAGCAACAGCAGTTTATGGATGCCTGCTGTACCTGCCTCGTGGGAGAGGCCTCAGGTTAAAGGTATTTCTCTCTCTCTGCAATGGCTTTGGAGCCTTACTTCAACAGTATTTTAACACGAGTCATAAATCCTATGGGAAAAGACAAAGGCAGGAAAATGTGGGGAGGAACATTTGCGGGAAGGGCCTGGATTCTCCCTGTCTCTGAGGGGATGTGCAAGTGTCTTCAGGTGCGAAAGGCAGAGAGGAGGCCAGGAAGACCTCAGTCTTTGTACCTCGCTGTCCTGCCACCAGGCAAGCAGAGAGGGGCCGAGCATCGCCCTGTGTTTTAAGTTTCGTCACCTCAACAACGCCCGGTATTTTAGGGTGTTGTGGTTTGTTTCATCATGTGCAGCAGCAATTCTTGGCACCGCAGGAGCAGAGAGAGCTGTGAGGTCTCTCTTCACCCCTCACAGGGTCACAGCGACTCTCTTATAACCACACACGGCTAACAAGAGAAAAGAACACATTTATGGAGCCAAAGTTTTACGTGACACGGAAGACCCAGAGACCCAGGAAACCCTTTTTATGCTTCGATTAGATGAAGCATGGGCAGCTGTGTAGAAATGGGAGCAATCCAGGGGGAAGGCTGAGGGGACAGACCCAGCGAGGCTGCCCGGAGCCTTCTCAGCACACGCTGCAAAGCTCCTTCCTCCCTCCCATGCATGGGGGCAGGACCCTGGGAAGGAAGGCCTCCAAGGGAAAAGGGACAGAGTGACCTTCTAGGTTCTACAGCCTGCTTTGGGAGAGACGAGTTCTATTTTCTATGACTCACCATGGGGAAAAGGAATTCTGGTTTCCGTGATTCACACGGGGGAGAAAATGGGGCAGGAAATAGAAGGGAAGAAGGTCAGAGACGCTTTGCTTGTGAGGCCCTTAATGGCCCCAGACCCAAGTACTCAGCACGCCAAGGTCACATGTGGAGCCCCAGCAGCAAGCAGGAGGCACTCGGTAAGTTTCATTGCACCACACGTGGTGGAAGGAGAGCCTGAGGCCGGGAGTTTGAGACCAGCCTCGGCAACAGCAAAACTCCATCTTAAAAAAAAATGTGTGTGTGTGTGTGTATATATATATATACGTGTGTGTGTGTATTTGTTGAATGAATCAATATAAATTTTTAGAAAAGTTATAAAAGAAAAAATCTCTCAGGAAAATCACCAAAAGAAAAAACCTCCAAAAGTAGGGCAAATAGAAAATATAAAAACTGTGGCAGAAATATGTCCTTGTCGAAGAATTATTATAACAAATATGAGTTAAAAGACAGAGAGTTAATTAGAGATGCATTTTAAGAAAAGACCCAGAAATACGGAAAAGTTCTTTGAAACTGAATTTGAGTGATTCTAGGTGCCTGACGGAATCGACACGCAATCCTCCCCCGACAGAGACAACACCCCAGGCCTGAAAGCAGCTCCGTGTCCAGCCATGAAACATAAACAGGCAACATGGAGGGAGAAGACAGCGAGGGTGACGGTCAGCAGGAGCCACAGGCAGCAGGAACTCCGGGTGCTGGAATTCCCAGACGATAAACCAGCTGTGCTCGCTATGTTTTTGGAAACAAAAGGTAAACATGAGGATTTTTTCCAAGGAATGAGAAATGGATACGGTGATGCAATAAGAAGAACTGGTTTGGTCTTCAGTCCTGGTTCTGCAGAGCCCCTAACACTCTTGTGACTCCGAGGCGATGGGCAGTAAAGGCAGAGCCTGTCTCAACCACACCTGGGTTTACACGGAAGAAGAGGCGTTTGGGAAGGGGCTCTGGCTGCCAGGTGATTCGGGGGATGGAACTTTCAGCCCCACCTTCAGCCCGTGGGGAGGGGAGAGGGACTGGACTGAGTCAGCCCCTAGGGGAATGATTGAAGCAGTCGTCCCTACATAATGAGGCCTCCACGGAAAACCCTAATCAGCAGAGTTCCCAGAACTTAGATGCTGGAAGTTCTAGCTCATCGTGTTTGGGTTTAGCCGACACTGGATTTGGTTTCATTTAACCCCCACGTGGGTGTTAAAATCCTGACAAAAGCAAGAATGTGGGCCGGGCGCGGTGGCTCACGCCTGTAATCCCAGCACTTTGGGAGGCTGAGGCAGGCGGATCACGAGGTCAGGAGATCAAGACCATCCTGGCTAACACGGTGAAACCCCGTCTCTACTAAAAAATACAAAAGACTAGCCGGGCGAGGTGGTGGCCACCTGTAGTCCCAGCTACTTGGGAGGCTGAGGCAGGAGAATGGCATGAACCCAGGAGGTGGAGCTTGCAGTGAGCCAAGATTGTGCCACTCACTCCAGCCTGGGGGACAGAGTGAGACTCCATCTCAAAAACAAAACAAAACAAAAAAGCAAGAATGTGTTCACCATAGAAGTCCGGAGTGGTGGTCTTCTTGGGATGGGAGGGGTCGTGACTGGGCAGGGACAGGCAGGCACCTTCTGGGGGATGGGCAACGCACCATTTTGACTAGGGTGGTAATTTTTTACTTTTATGTTTTATACATTTTGCTGTAAATTTATTAAATTTCACAATAGGGAAACGTTAACCGTATATGCCCCCATTAACACGGATTTTATATACACCAGGCAACCACAAATAGAAATGCTGAGAGACGTGGTAATCCTATTTCTGAAATTACCAAAATTCTGCCAGGAAAAGATCTGGAGAGCCTGCGAGGCCAAGGCTAAGATCTCCAGTGAGGGTGAGACTAAGCTGAGGACCCGCGATGACCGCTGCAATGGCCGTCCGCGTCAGCCAGGACAGGCTGCGTTAGGCTGCATAACAAATGGCCCCACATAATGACATCCCGTGCACGCTCCACCCCACCAAGGACTCTGCTCCCCACCCTCATGCAGAGGCCCAGGCGAAGTCGCACCTCGACAGGCATCTCCATGGCCACTGAGGCGAAAGAAGGAGCTCCACGGGAAGATTCAGCCCTGCCGTCTGCCCAGAGGGGAGCCGAAGGTATCTGGTGAACAGCACTGGTGCACACCACATCCAGGCACCTGCGAGGTACTTGAAAGACTGCCCTTCCTGCAAGCAAAGCACACCCGCTTCCTCCAAGGCAACCATCCCGGCATCCTCCAGCTACGTGAAGGTCAAACGTACACAAGTTGCCGCATCCATCCCAAGCTGGAGGGCTCTGAGTTAAAAAGATGAAGCGTTTGTGGCCGGGCGTGGTGGCTCAAGCCTGTAATCCCAGCACTTTGGGAGGCTGAGACGGGCGGATCACGAGGTCAGGAGATCGAGACCATCCTGGCTAACACGGTGAAACCCCGTCTCTACTAAAAAAATACAAAAAACTAGCCGGGCGAGGTAGCGGGCGCCTGTAGTCCCAGCTACTCAGGAGGCTGAGGCAGGAGAATGGCGTGAACCCGGGAGGCGGAGCTTGCAGTGAGCGGAGATCGCGCCACTGCACTCCAGCCTGGGCGACAGAGCAAGACTCCGTCTCAAAAAAAAGAGAAAAAAAAAAAAAAGAAGCGTTTGCTGCCCACACCCCCGGTATTCAACCAAGGAGCAGGGACAGGGGCTTCCAGGGTCCGGTTTGGGAGGGGAAGAAGGCAGACCCCAGCGGTCAGGCTCTGCAGTGGCTCCAAAGTCCCATCAGGTGGCTGGGGGAGGACCCCAACCCCGGGGAGCAACTTCCTGGAAGAGATGTGGGCTGTGGTCGGTGGAGGGGACACCTCCCATCCCCACGGTCCTCTGTGGCCCCACCAGGGTGGGTGCTGGAGAGCCGAGTGGCTTCCTCAGCTCCCTTCTTGCCTGTAGAGACGTGGGGAGCCCAAGGGCTACTTTGAGTCTCACGCTGTCACAGTCTTTGGATCCAGCCTGCGTTTTTAGGACAGTGCAACTCTTTCAAATCTTTGATCAACTTTTTTTTTCTTTTTCTTTTTTTTTTTTTGAGGCAGGTGTCGCAGGCGTCCTTGTGAAGAGACCACCAACCAGGCTTTGTGTGATCAATAAAGCTTTTTAATCACCTGGGTGCAGGTGGGCTGAGTTCGAAAAATGAGTCAGCAAAGGGAGACGGGGTGGGGCAGTTTTATAGGATTCGGGTGGGTCGTGGAAGATTACAGTCAAAGGGCGCTGTGCTCCGGCGGGCAGGGGCGGGGGTCACAAGGTGCTCGGTGGGGAGCTTCTGAGACTCACTGTCCAGGAGAAGGAATGTCACAAGGTAGTGTCATCAGTTAAGGCAGGAACCGACCATTTTCACTTCTTCTGTGGTTCTTCAGTTGCCTCAGGCCATCTGGATGTATAGTCCAGGCTTGGGCTCAGAGGCCTGACCGCAGGGTCCTGCCCAGGCTGGACGTGACTGATCGCCACTCAGTGCAGCCTCAACCTCCTGGGCTCAAGCGATCCTCCCAACTCCAGTCTCCCTGTGGGTGGGACCGCAGGCATGCACCACCACCACTGGCTATGTTTTCATACTTTTTGTAGAGACAGGGTCTCACCATGTTGTCCAGGCTGGTCATGAACCCCTGGGCTCAAGTGATCTGCCTGCCTCAGCTTCCCAAAGTGCTGGGATTACAGGCGTGAGCCATGGCACCCGGCGCAAATCAGCTCTTTAAACTTCCGTCTGATTTGGTCAGGTCCCTGTGCCGAGTCACACCCGCTCCTCCTGCCTGCCTTGGCTGGGCTGCGTTTCTTTCCTGGGTCGTCCTCAGCCCCCACTGCCCCCTCCCTCTAAAATCTCTCTGCACCAAATGCGGCATCAGGTCAGGCTGAAGAGCCTGAGTCACACCCTTAGTCTCTTTTTCCTGGGGCATTTGGTGCAATAAAAGGGCTTTCCTGGGCCATTCCCTTGGCCGGACCCTACCTGGAGACGCTTCGAGCTCCTCGGAGTTTCCAGCAGCCGGAGTGGTGCCGCGCTCCTGATTCCACCCCAGCCGCAAACGCTGACATTTTCCCTCAAGGGTCTCTGCAATCTTCCCTTCTGTGGTCAGGATGGAAAGGCAGTTGCCTCTTTTAACCCACAAAGCCCCCCTGGGTTTTCCTGGTTTCCTTTCGCTCCTGCTCACCCACCAACTGGTTCTCTCCTGAACTCATGATGCCAAAACCCGCATCTGGCCGCAGGCAGCACCCACAGAGCATTCGCTGCCCAGCCTCAAAGTCCAGGACTCACATTGATTAGGTTCTTGCTCTCCTTCCAAACACCCCAGGGGTCGCTGCCCCCACCACGTCCTCCCTGCTCTGCCTGGTCCGGGCAGCACTGTCCCGAGTCAGCCAGGATGAGCCAGGCTGTGCAGTGGTAACGAACAGCCCCACCCTCAGCCGCTGACTCCCTCCAGTGTGGGCCGGTGGCAGGTGTGGGGTCTGTGGTCTGTGCATCGTCCTTGCCCAGCCACCCAGGTTGGGGAGCCCCCGGCGTGTGCTGCCAGGCCTCCCGGGTGGGAATGGGAGGTGGAGTCATGCCTGATCTCTTGGTGCCACCTCTCATGCCCACAACATCGCACTGGCCACCTCAAGTGACAAGTTCATGCGGAGAGCTGCGAGGGGGTGAGGAAGCAAGATTCCAGGAAGAAAGCCAGAGGCTTGGGGAACAGCACTGATGGGCCTCCCGGTGCACCTCGAGGCACTGCTGTGGGGTGTGTGCCTGTGAAGAGGGCGGGGCTGCACTTGGGAGGCAGGGAGGGGGAGTCGCTGCCCTGGGGAGCTGCAGATGCATTAGAGCAAGAAGGTCAGGGCACCCCTCACGGGGCTGTTCGAACGGAGGCTGGAGGAAGGGGCTTGTGATGATTGCGTTAACTGCACAAATTGTTTGCAGAGCCTGTGTGTTTGAACTATATGAAATCTGGGCATCTTGAAAAAAGAACAGGATAACAGCGATCTTCAGGGAACACCAGAGATAAAGACTTCTGGCCACTGGTGAGCCGGATGGAATAGAGTCACATTTCTCCTCTTTCAAAAGCAAATAGGAGAAATATCGCTGATTCTTTTTCTCAGCAAGGAACATCCCTGAGAAAGAGAATGTGCCCCGAGGGCAGGCCTATAAACTGCCCCCCCTCGCAGGCCGTCTTTTACGTCTTTTACGGTTGAAGCTGAAGGGATGAAATAAGCCCCGGCCTCCTGTACCGCTCCCAGGCTTATTAGGACGAGGAAATTCCTACCTAATACATTTTGGTCAGACAGGTTGTCTGCTCTGAAACCCTATCTCCTGATAAGATGTTATCAATGACAATGCCTGCCGGAAACGTCATTAGCAATTTTAATTTTGCCCTATCCTGTGGTCCTATTATCTTGCCCTGCCTCCACTTGCTTTGTGATAGTTTATTACCTTGTGAAGTACGTGATCTCTGTGACCCACACCCTATTCGTGCACTCCCTCCCCTTTTGAAAATCCCTAATAAAAACTTGCTGGTTTTATGGCTCGGGGAACGTCAGGGATCCTGCCGACATGTGGTGTCTGCCCCGGACACCCAGCTTTAAATTCCTCTCCCTTATGCTCTTTCCCTTTATTTCTCAAACCAGCTGAGACACTTAGGAAATAGAAAAGAACCCACGTAACCACTGGGAGCGGGTTCTCCCGATACAAATAACCTTTATTTCTCTGTGAATTAAAACCCTAATTTAAGCATTAGCTGGGCATGCTGGTGTGTTACTTGGGAGTTCTAGCTACTCGGGAGGCTGGGGCAGGAGGATTGCTTGAGCCCAGGAGGTGGAGGCTGCAGTGATCTGTGATGGTGCCACTGCACTTCAGCCTGGCTGACAGAGTGAGACCCTGTTTCAAACAAAGAATTTCTGGGGTTTGGTGTGGGTGATGATTGCACTGGCCACTTCATTCAGAAAGGGCCAGAGTGGATGAACACCAATGAAAACCCCCAAGATCAGTTTCATGAATCTGAATACCTGAGTAAGCCACACGAGCTTTGGTTTCTCAGCCTTCCAACATCCATTGTAAAATTTGTGTGTATATTCAGACAGTGATGGCGAGTCAGCAAAAGAGATCGAGAACAAAATAATACTATTTCTGCCTTACTATACAACAGTCAGAAATAAGTAAAACCAAATGACACAACTCATACTAACTGATACCAAATGTTATACAAGAAAATTACCCAGGCGTGGTGGTGGAGCGCCTGTAGTCCCAGTTTACTTGGGAGGCTGAGGCAGGAGAATGGTGTGATTATCCAAAAGCAGAGGTTGCAGTGAGCGAGATTGCGCCACCTGTCACAAGCCGGGGGACAGATGC